ACATGTGAGTTCAAGCTGACCGTTTCCTGTCTGGTTCTAAGCTTTCCTTATTGGTCTCTATCTAATCTAATTTTTTTCAGGGGGAGGCTCCAGAGCGACCCTGATGATCATTGCAAGAGAGGGTGGGGATCCAAAGTTGGAACTAAGTGAGGACCAGGGGAAATGGGGACTTCCTCTCCCAAGTCCCAAAGGAAGTTTACTGTTCTTCTGTTTCACAGGTCTGCTCAGGGCTCCCGGCTGTTGTTCTGATGACATTAGATCCTGTGAGGAAGGATCTGGGCTTCTTCCATCCTATGTGGGAGATCCGAAAGGGAGTGGATGACCTCAGAGTTCTTGGCTTACAAGGGCAGTCCAATTCCCCGTGGTCAAAGGATGCACTTTAGATGCCCCAGGGAAACAGGTATTGTCTGTCTAGGTCCAAGTCAGCAGTATGCATGGCAGCCACCGGGAGGTGGGAGAGTTACAAGGATGCTAAGGCCATTGGGGAGAACACAGAAGCCCGGAACTGGCTATGCAGGGCTCTCCAAGGCTGAGAAGGAAGCAGGAATGGAACCTGAGGTAGGAGAACCAGGAGGTGGGCACGAGGGCTCAGTGCCATTAGAATGGGACCTTTGGGTTCAGTGCCTTCTGGGGCAGTGGCTATTTGGCCCAAGTGGATGAGTGACACTGAGCCACGGGTGGTCGCAACACCCTTGTTCTGCCCTTGAGAGAAGTGTAACAGGCAGCAGTCATACGTAGTGTGGAGGTCTCCATGGAGGAAGCAGCAATGTGGATGACACCCTGAGCAGGGGCAAGGCGAGGCTCTGCCCGGGATGCAGGACCAGGGCATGGGGCAGGTGCAACCCCCGCCCCAGAGGCTGGGTTCTCAGGGGATCGGGGATCAGGGGATCAGGGGATCAGGGCAGGGACAGTCTTGTTGTGGGTGGCTCTGGGTCCGAGAAAACAAGTCTAGCTGCTGTAGGCAGGTCTGTGTCACTGCTTCGAGTGCTGAACCTGTGCCTTCTGCCCTGCATTCTGGCCTCTCTTGTTGTACCCCTTCGTCCATTGCTCCCCTTCTTCCATCCCATCCTCCCTTTCTTCTTTTGCTCCTCTCAATAAACACTAATTTGCAGTCTGTGGTAGGCCTGGCACAAGTGGTAGGAGGGTGGTACAAAGTTAGAGTCGGGAAGGTGGCAGTGGTGCTAACAGAATCCTTGCCAGGGGCAGCAAGGTGCATGCCATACAAAGTTTCCACCCCACTGCCACGTACATAGTTGACAAGGATTCTTTGGCAGTGGGGCTGGGTCTGTGCCCTGGTTCTGGCCAGTGGGGTCCAGAGGAAATCAGTGAGGGACTTGTGGGGTCCCCTCCCTAAGGAGAGCGACATTGCAGACCCAGGAAGGCCGTGTCTTAAGGGCCCCCAGACTCCCATGTGGGACCATCAGCTAGGACTATGGCAGGAGAGCCAGAATGACCCCTGCACCCACCTTTCACCCATTCCCCTTCCTGGAATCATGAACTGTGTTTCCTAGTCATACCCCTTTCAGTTGGGCATCCTAACTACTTCAGCAAAGAGGAAATAAACATGCAGACCCGAGCTTCCTGGAAGCCAAAGCAAAAAGATGTTTTGCTTTTAAATTCTCTATTTGACACTAAATTTCCAAGTGGGGACCCATGAAAAAGAATACTGAGATATTACAGGATGCTCAATGTTTCTCATTTAGCAAGAGAAGCAGTTTGTACAGGCCCTTTCTTTCTTTTTAGGATTTTATTATCCTTATTTGAAAGGCAAAGTTATACAGAGAGAAAGACAGATCTTCCATCCATTAGTCATTCCACAAAAGGCTGTAATAGTCAGAACTGGGCTCATCTGAAGCCAGGAGCCAGGAGCTTCTTCCGGTCTCCCACGTGGACGTAGGTGCCCAAGAACTTGGGCCATCTTCTGCTGCTTTCCCAGTGCATTAGCAGAGAGCTGGATCAGAAGAGGAGCACCCAGGACTAGTGCCCATATGGGATGCCAGCCCCTGCATAAGTCTGCCCTTCCTTCCTTCTTTCTTTATGGATTTATCTATTTTTATTTGAAATCAGACTTTTGCAGAGAAGGAGAGACAGAGAGGTCTTCTATTCATTTGTTCACTCCCCCAAATGGATGCAAAGTGGCCGCTAAACTATCTATTCTCCAGAATCACAGATCACACACCCACACACACACACGTATGTACCAGCGAGCCCACAGATAGAGCATGCAGCCCCTTCTGCTTCTCCACGCTGCGGAGCACTCAATCAGCTCTAGGAGGTACCTGCTCGGGGTGCCATGCAGTCTTCTGCCGTCCAGTTGCTTTCTGCTGTGGTCCTGGGCTCCAGGCTGATCAGAGGGACTTTGCTGTCAAACAGCCACGGCTCTCTGCTTGGGGAAAGAAGTGAATATAAACATCACCTTCACATGGAAACATTTTCTGCAACTTCTGACACATAGCCAGATCTGGGCAAGTGGCAGCAGGACCCCTTCCCAGAGCTGTGTGAACCCCTAGGGACATCCCAAAAGAATTATAAATCCCAGTACCACCTGCTACCCTGGTGATGGACTTAATCCTGTTACTGCTTAAATCAGGAGAGCCACTGGAGGAGATATGGTTTGGGATATTTTGAGGAGCCGGTCTACTCACACACGGTGGGGAAGGGGGCAGGGGCACTTCCGTGACCAACGCCAAGATGAGCCTCAAAAGATGAGACTTGTTAACATAATAAACCCAGATCCCTCCAAACAAAAATGCAGATGGGTCCTGGACTCCTCTCAGTTCAGTAGGCCGATTCTCCTAGTCTACCAAATGATTATGAAAAACCCCTTATCTCTGCTTGTCAAAGCCACCGCTGTCACGGGGTGATGCCTCCCCCTGAAAGGGACGTACAAGTCCAGGCTTCACTCCAAGCGTGCGCAGCACACAGCATCGAGAGGCAGGCCTCATGCGCAGCCATGAACATGCGTGTCATGAAAAACTAAGGCACTGCAAGAAATTGCTCTTCTCATTTCGTCATCTACACTTTCCGAAGAAGCACAACCCAGGAAACACAGGAGCCTGAGAGACAGCCTGGCCAACAGGGACCAGAGGAGCGGCAGGAATCCCCTAACGTGTCACTGCGAAGTGATCTTGGGTCTCTCGTCTGACTCCTGAGCCAGTCCGGGTCTTTCTTCTGGCAGTCAGCTGACTGGGCGGTCAGGGTGACGTCCAGCAGACTGGAAGAAGGTTCTGGATGCTTGAGCACAACAGGTGTGGCGTGTTTCCTACCTGTTGAGTTAGAGCTGCATGACTCCCAGGTGGAGCAGGGGTCGGCAGGCATCCAGGCAGGTGCAGTGCCTGCAGCAGGGGCGAGCCTGGAGTGGCTGACCAGGGGAGGACTTCATTTGGCCCTGGAGAGTGGCTAGTGGGAAAAGAAGCTGCATCCACGCAGCAAAGAGAAGGCTGCTGGGGCACAGATCCCAGGTCCCTGCGGGAACCTCAAGATGCAGGTGGCCTGTCTGGCTTGGGTCTTGCACATACCTCCCACTCTCCCACCTCCATTAGGGGTGACTCACCTTGGCAGAAAAGATGAATCATGTGAGTTACAAAACCCAAGGAGGGAGGCTGGAAAGCACTTGGGGAACCCGTCTCTGTGGGTCCTGTCCTCCCCCAACCCCCTGCTAGGTCCCTCACCTCCACCTGCCAAGCTGCATGAGCCACAGTGAATTCTTTCTTTACAAACTCAATTTATTGTGAGACAAGGTGGCAGGTAGGGGATGGAGGAAAGAGATCTGTCTTTGGGATCACCAAATGCCCACACTGGGTTGGGCCAGACCATACCCAGGATACCAGACATCTAACCAAGTCTCTCACATGGGCCAGGAATGTAACTTGCTGAGCCATGACCCGCTGCCTCCCCAGGGAGCTGGAAGCAGGAAGTGGAAGCAGAGCTGGGGGGCTAGAACCCACACATGAACAGAGGGAACTACAAACCACAACTTAACTGCTGGGCCAAGGGTCTCCCCTGCCCCACCTCATCCCCCTTCCATAAGCGCCAGGCACAAGTGGCCTCCTGGAGACAGTCTCCCTCCCATGGAAGGCTTCCCATTATTATCCAGGCTGAAGGCTCACCCACTGCTCCAGGTTTGCAGGGAGCGATAACTTTGGGAAGGACAAGCAGAGGGCATGATGGTCTTGAGCTTGCCACCTCTCCTGGCTGGATGGCTGGCACGCATCTCCATGGTTCTCTGGGGATAATACCGCTAAGTAGCGACCAGACACCAGGCTGCTGCAGCCAGCAGTGGTGACACTCACTGAAGCAGCGGAGGTCCTCCCCACACCAGCTCAGCTCTGGCACGGGGGAGAGGATGCTCTTCAGGGTACGCAGGATCCAGCTAACACACCTAGCACGTGGCAGGCCCTGGCTGCATCAAAACAAACATTCCCTGGCAGCCGACTCTAACCGCAGGAGCTGACCTCATCCTGAGCCGGCCTGAGGGGTAGGGGCCTCTGGTACCCCCATTTTACGGCTGGCGTGCCTGGGATCAACAAGACCAATCACTTGCCAAGGGCCCTGGGATGCTAAGGGGAGGGTCGGAAACTCCCTTCACTCGGGCCGCCTACCAGGTGCCTCTGTCCCTTCCATCAGGCCGGCTCTGGGGGACCAGGGCTTTCTGGAAGCCTTTCCCAGGGGACCCTGTGCGGGCGATGTGAGCAAAGCCACATGGCCTGGGAGTCCCAACTGGTGAGGACAGCTTCCCAGGTGCCTCACCTGTGGAGGACGCCTTCTTACGGCATCTCCTCAGGAGAACGGGGTAGGTAGGAGGCGATAGGGGACTTACCTGAGATGCTCCGGGACCGAAGCTGCCCCTTGGTGCCGTTCCGGGCCTGAGGACCCCATAAGTCTGCGGAGGAGCTGCCCCGGCGGAGACCGTTCGGGCCTCTCCTGCGGCGCGGTCGGCGCAGCCGGCACCGGGCACAGGAGCGCGGGCCCGGGGGCGCCGCGGGCCGCGCAGGCGGGAACGCGCCGCGGCCGCCGCCTCCTCCCTCGCTCCCGCCCGCGGCGGCGGCGGCGCTTCCCGGCGCGGAGCGGCTTTAAAAGGCGGCTCCCCACCCCCCGGCGCACTCGCCGCTCGGGCGCCGCGCGAGCCGCCGCTGCCATGCCTCCGCGCGCGCCGCCTGCGCCCGGGCCCCGACCGCCTCCCCGGGCCACCGCCGCAGCTGCCGCCAACGCCGCGGGCGCGGGGGACGCCGGCGGGCGCGGACTCCGGCCGCCGGCGCCGCGTCCCTGGCGCTGGCTGCTGCTGCTGGCGCTGCCTGCCGCCTGCTCCGCGCTGCCGCCGCCGCGACCCGTCTACACCAACCACTGGGCAGTGCAAGTGCTGGGCGGCCCGGCCGCGGCGGACCGCGTGGCCGCGGCGCACGGCTACCTCAACTTGGGCCAGGTGAGTGCGGCCGGCCCCGCGCGCCGCAAACTTTCCCGGCGCCGGCGGGCACGCGCAGGGGGCGCCGCGATCGCCCGCCGGGACCGCGGCCGCGCCTGGGCAGGCGTCCGGGATGGCTAGGCTCGCGCGATCTCGGGGTTCCCCCCCGCGAGCAGTTGCTGGGGAGCGCGGGCGCGGGACTCGGGCGGGGCGACCTCTCAGGCCTGGAGTACGGGCCGCAGCTTGCGGGCTGTGCAACCGGGCCGGGCGCTCGGAAGTGTGGCCGTGGACGCTGGGTTCCGGCGCGCACACACACCTGCCGGGCCGTGCTGCGGTGGGGAGCGTCTCCGGCGCCGCGCTCTGCCTACAGCGCTGTCCGGATGGGGCGCACTCTCGGGTCCGTGCGCCAGCTTCACCTCGACGGGCGGCCGCTGGCCTGGGTGACGTGCGCGTGGCCCGGACTCGGGGACATCCGTGCTCCCTCCCTTGGCGGCGCTCGGGCAGGCTCCCAGGGACAGCACGGGACCCGGCAGCAGCCCTCTCGGTGAGGTTAGGGACACAGTGTTCACAACCCTTCGGGCATCTGGGAGGATTGCTTCATTTTGGAGGCTTTTCTGAGTTCAGCGGCAACCTCCTGCCTCTGAACTGTGAGGTCTTGGGTAAGTCACTTGCTGGACTTACTCGGCTGTAGGGATGTGACTGTGCCTACTGTGTGCCTTGCAGAGTTGCGTGGCCGCTGCCGGACGTGATCATCCCTGGAGAGCCAGGACTGTACTCCCACCCATCAGCCTAGCCCCAAAGCTGCCAGTGAGCCAGGGACCAGCTGTGGGCACTCAGGAACGCCACAGCAGGTGTTTATCCTGCTGCAGCTCCCCTGCGGGACGAGTCCCCTTGCGTGGCCACTGGAGAAGGGGTTCCGCAGGCTGAAGCGTGTTCCCTGCCCCGGGGGCTGGGGTGGTACTAAGTGCTGTTCACATCTACACGCCAGGCCCTGGGCACTGGGTGAAGTGGCAGGAAGCGCCGCCTCGAGACTCACACCCAGTGCCAGACCGCGTTCAATTCAGTTGTAGCCTCTTAGAGTGTGCACTGGCGCCAGGGGTATTTCTGCAGCAACAGAGTGCGGTGGGGACAGGCTCACGTGTGCCGTGCGGCCCTTGGAAGGGGTGTGTGTGTGTGTGGCGCGGGGCGCAGGGCGCGTGGTGATGAGTCTGGTTTCTGACATACACTCCCGGAGTTGATCTAAAGGAGTGTAATCCCGAGTTCCATGTGTATGTGAAATATCGCAAGTTGAATGTGTACACACACAGGTTCGTAGGCGCTGGAGTCTTTTCAGGCGCTGTGATCTAAGCTTCTGCCTCTGGGTGGCTCCTCGTGTCTCTCTCTCGTACCTGAATCTCCCCCAGCTGGTGGTGCAGTGAGGAGGCTGCTCCTGTTGGCGGAGGCCACCCCTCCTCTTGCCACACGCATCTCCCCCTCCCCCAGGTGGCCCAGCAATTTGTCTTCTGCCCAAAGTCACTCTTGGAGTGCATGGGAAATTACAAAGGGCCGGGTTTCTGGCTCCTGTAATTAAGTGAGCAGAAAGGAGCTAAAGTTGGGCTGTGGGTGCCTGGACATGGCAGGGGAGAGGCCAAGAAGGACAGTACCCCTCCCACAGGGCCCACCCCAGTCCTGGGCCCTGGGAAGTGAGAATGCCCAGCTTTTGTTTGTGCTGACCCTTTGAAGCCACTGCTAGGCTCACTGAGCAGTGTGTTTCTGTCTGTGTGCCTGGATTTGTCTGGGTGAGGGGTGGGCACAGAGAAGGTTCCTCCCTGCCTGTGCTCCTCCCTCCTCCGTGGGCCATCCCTGCCCACTTTCATGGAGGACCGAGTTGGGGTGGGGGAAGGGGACAGGCGGGGTCTGGAAGGTGTGTGACCCTCCAGGGTGACTCAGAGCGCTGTGCCAACACCACTTTCTCCTTGCAGCTGATGTGGACAGGCCCGGAAGCTCTCCCCACTCACTAGGAACTCTTTAAATCCCCGAGCACCTCCATGCAGCCAGGGGCATCTGTGACTCAGGAGTGAGATGCTGGCTGGAGGGGAGGCTGAGGGCTCAGCGCTCTGCCTGGGTCTCCTGCCATCTGCCTTGACCTGCATGGCTTCGCCTCTGGAATTCTCGCTGCTTTCTAGTGACTGGCTTGGATTGGTTTACTTTCTTGTACAATGGACAAACTGATGCAGCTTATTTAGTGTGGTCCGGAGGTGACTGAGGTTGGTGGTGATGGAACGCTGGGTTCCTTTTGGAGACTGAGAAAGGCTCTGAGAAAAAAAAATTATCGATCCTCGGACACAAGTAGAATTGCCCCTTTTTGCCCCTCTAGTCCTTATTCCAGATAAGGCTTTTACAAAAGGGATCAAGATTTGGGGCATCAGATGTCGTTATTACCGGATGACGTAAGTACGCAGATGATCTGAGAGTAGCCAGAGATTAAAGATTAGAACTCAGAAGAAAAATAAATAAATAGGTTGCTTGATCTCCCATAGCTGTCTGCACAGCAGTCATAGCTAAGGAAATAAGAGAAACTATAACTCATCCTTGTGTAAAAGCTATACGATACTTTGGAATAAATCTAAAATGTTGAAATGTGTTTTGAGGAAATTATGAAGAATTTAAGAAGTCTGAATGCAGAGAGATATATTAAGTTTATGTATGGAGGGGGCGGTAGTTGTTACCTAATCTGTTAATTCAGTGGCATCTAGTTACCAGATGTTACATGCACTATGCGATCGCACAGATCATCCTAGAATTCATCAGGCGAAGCACAGTGGAGAGGAGGGGTAGGGGTGTGGCACAGGAGTCAGGACAGCACCTGTGAAATCCCGGCTCTGCTTCCATTCGGCACACCCATAGGAGACCAGGATGGAATTCCAGGCTCCTGGCTTTGGCTTGGCCCTGCCCCCAGGGCATGTGGGGAATAAGCTAGGGAATGGGGGCTGTTTACCTCTCAAGGAAATACTGAAATAATTCTGAAGGGAGATGTGATCTGAGCAGTTTGGCATTGGTCCTGTGATGGTCTGGTCCTCGGGACACTTGACACAGCCCCAAGCCTGAGCAGGAGCGTGTGCGTGGAATCATTGCAGATGGATGGGGAAGGAAAGGCCGTTTTGTGCTACTGCGGGAAATGAACTGTTCACAATAAATTCCACACAGCATTGCGGATCCATAGCAGGAGACCTTTATGACATTAAAAAAAGGGGAGTACACAGCGTGTGAAGATAATGTATAAATGAAGGTGACATAGCAAGTCGTAGCAGCCAGCATTGTGACGCAGCCCTTTGAGCCGCTGCCCGTGATGCTGGTATGCCATTTGAGTGCCAGTTCAAGTCCTGGCTGTTCCACTTCTGATCTAACTCTGCTAATGTGCCTGGGAAAGCAGTAAAAGATGGCTCAAGTGCTTGGGCCCCTGTATCCCTTTGGGAGGCCGAGCACCTGGTGTCAGTCTGGCCCGACTCCAGCTGTTGATCATTGGAGAGTGAACCAGTGGATGAGATCTCTTTCTTCCTCTCTTCCTGTAACTCTTCCTTTCAAATGCATGAGTAAACAAATCTGTTTTGAAAAGCAAGTAGTACATTGGAGAAAGGATTTATAACATTGTAGATTACTATATATCATTAAGAAAAAGATACATGCCAGATAGAAAATGGGGATGTATACCCATGGTATTTAATGAAGAGGAAGCTCTGGGGTCTGGGCAGTCCCTGCTCAGTGGGTGCATGTGCTAGCCACCTCCAGCGAGGCGAGAGGAACAGGCTGGGGGAGGAGCTTCGTGCCTGGTGTGCGGTGTTCTCATTCATAACGCACACCCCCAAGAGGAAGGAACAAATGTTGCATGGCATATGGAATTAAAAGATGAGCTCATTTTGGTGCAAGAAATTTGGAATCCATACACATAGCGGTCTTCAAAAGGGTCACGAAGAGCAGACACCTTGGAAGAACTGTGCTTAGATTTGGTAAGTTTTCTTTGCACCCAAAGCAGATTGTTTGATTCCCTGTCCTATGAGCTGTGCAAGCCTTGCTGTGTCTGTGCGCTGAGAGCTGTCATCTGTAGCTGGTGACTGTGTGTCGGGTACTTCTGGCCACTTGGGGTGACTTAAACTGTGTGGATGGTCTCCCACATGGGTGCAGGGGCCCAAAGCTTGGGCCATCTTTCACTGCTTTTCCTAGGCCTTTCGTGGGGCACTGGGTTGGAAGTGGAGCAGCCAGGACTTACTGTGCTCCCCAAGGGGGATGTCGGTGTCACAGGCAGAAGGTTAACCTGCAGTGGCCCCAACACCATTTCCTTAAGAGGCTTGAAGAGCCACAGGTGTTGCCTGAAGGGATTCCAGAACAAAACAGCTATATATGTAGGGTACATGGAACATGCATTGTGCATTTTTTAAATTTGTGTCAGAGTGTATTGCTCTGGATACGTATACATACACAGAAGCATATATATACACACATGTATATATTTGCATACACATGCATATATTTACATACACAAACATTCACCAAATGTAGGAAAGGGGATGTATGTTTTGTTTTTGTTTTTAAAGATTTATTTATTTTTATTACAAAGTCAGATATACAGCGAGGAGGAGAGACAGAGAGGAAGATATTCCGTCTGTTGATTCACTCCCCAAGTGAGTTCAATGGCTGGTGCTTGGCCTATCTGAAGCCGGGAACCAGGAACCTCTTCCGGGTCTCCCACATGGGTGCAGTGTCCCAAAGCCTTGGGCTGTCCTCAACTGCTTTCCCAGGCCACAAGCAGGGAGCTGGATGGGAAGTGGAGCTGCCGGGATTAGAACTGGCGCCCATTAGGGATGCCGGGCACATTCAAGTTGAGGACTTTAGCCGCTAGGCCACGCCGCCAGGCCCGGGATGCATGTTTTGCACACACAGCAGCACTGTGGTCCTTGGGGGGTCCTGGACCACCTGAAGTGCATCTCTTGCTGCACAGGGCCTTTGGGTCCGTCCCTGCACTGGACTTCCAAGCTGGGCCAGTG